AAATTTGGGATACTGCTGGCCAGGAGCGGTTCCGAACAATTACAACAGGTATACATGTAGGTTATTGTAGTTAATGATTTGCCTGAAACATAGACCATGCCAGTCCTCTATATGCTGCCTTTAACTTGAGCATGCATTCTTCATGAATACTCAGCTTTCTCTTCTGTAATATAGGTTTCTGCAGTTAATTGAGAGAAACATATACCTTTGAATGACTAATGTTAATGCTATGTAAAAGAGAACTATCACTTGTCCTGAACTCAACTGAAGTTTACATCAAGAAGAGACCATTCCTAACTTTTATTTATGAATTATTGTCTGATAAATATGTGGAAATTCCATAAAAGAATGTTTTATTTTTCTAAGACTTCGGTTTTATCCATCATGTAGAATATAAGCTAGAGAGAACACCAAAGGGTTGATAATGCATGATTGCACACCTGTATACCTTGTGTAATTATATTGTATTTCACCTATTAGATGGTATTGCTAATTAAGCAGTTGCCTAATTTATGTTGCAGCTAATAAGTTGTCTTCCACTAATTAAGTAGTTATCTAATTATAAATCTCTTGATTACAGAGGTCTCCTAGTCCTAGTCATATTCATGTTTTATCCACACTAAATAATGTATACAATATGCTAAAGCTCCTACCCTATTTGCCCCGTTAGATGATCTGCTTTAGGCAATGTCTTGTCCTTGGACGTCAGAGTGCCTTGATGAACGTATCAGTCAACTGGTTGCGCTTAAAATAAAGTCAAGATGAATCAACTCCCTTAGCCACACTTTTAGCCCCATGAGCAAGGATGATAGCATGGACAACAGGATGTGGTTCCTCTTGGTTGCCAGGAACTCATTATAATCAGTATCTACAATAAGGATGGACTGCACCTTCTGGCTCGCACAATCTTCACACCCATAAACTGAAGCTATGTGAAATTTTCCCATGATGAATAATAGCAGGGTCTCAACAGTTCCTTTGGTGTAATTGTTGCGTATTAGGTAGCACTGGAATAAACATCATATCAGGTGTTCGTCCTATCACATCATCTCGGTAATATCACAAACCTAGATTTACAAGCTGGCTTTGAAATCAAGCAGTTTGAACTTGGGAGTATTTGCTCCATGGATGGTAACACAACTTCGACTATGCACTTGCTCAAACCCCACAAGATAGCTTGCTTATGGTACTTTGGCAATTTCCTTTGTTCGAATATTAAGAATCTAGGAACATAAGATGAGTGTTAGCCTGTCAATAATTGGGAGCAGCAAACCAGATTAAATTGCAACATTAGTAAGAATTGTGATGTAGTAAACTGCAATGAATGTCAGTCTCATTGAGATTTGTAGAAGGGCATACTGGAATAAATGTTGAACTGATGAGAAACTTTCTGTTTTTTAATATCACGTTTAAGTAGGGTTAATCTCCCGTAACTCTGGGAAGGTTATGGAGCTACTTATGCTCTTAATAGATACATACGAGTTAGCAATGTTTGCAGGGCAGCTATGCTGTCTGTTCCTTGATAATTGCCTTTCCTTTTGGTGACCTGTCAATTTGCTTCTCAAATAAACCTGCTTATAGTACTTTACTTCTCATGCAGCTTACTACCGTGGAGCCATGGGTATCTTGCTGGTATATGATGTGACTGACGAGTCATCGTTTAACAGTAAGTTCCACTAATTTTAAAAATAAAGTGTTTGGAGTAGGATTTTTAATTTGGAGTTGGATTTGTTCCCTTTTTTTGTAGATGAATTTATTGTCTTGAAAACCCAGGGTTGGGTTAATGGTGAGGGTTTAGCCATACACTTTGATCTTGGGCTAGGAATACCTCCAACCTCTTGCCAAGCTTCCATTCTCTGAAAATATATTTGTTTGCCTTGTATGATTTGCAGTCTGTCTCTCCTCCTCCCTCTTCTTCTTGTTAGGTGAACTTCCTTAAGATAAATTTGATTAACATTTTCGTTGGTTCATTTAGACATCAGGAATTGGATACGAAACATTGAACAACACGCTTCTGACAATGTCAATAAAATACTCGTGGGAAACAAGGCAGATATGGATGAAAGCAAACGGGTATTCTGTCTATCTCCTCTATCCATCCATTCACTATTTATTTGTTGATATGTGTGTATATTGCCTTCCTTTTCTTTTGTTCTCTCACTTGATATGATCCTTCTCTAGGCTGTTCCTACATCCAAGGGTCAAGCGCTAGCTGATGAATATGGCATTAAATTCTTTGAGACAGTAAGTGGAACTGGTTTTCAGCATTGGAATTATTTTCCGGCAGCACTCATACTCAGATCCTAGCTATATTTCATGCAGAGTGCCAAGACAAATATGAATGTTGAGGAGGTTTTCTTTTCAATAGCTCGGGATATAAAGCAAAGACTTGCTGAATCTGACAATAGAGCTGAGGTATGAGTTCCAAACTTCAGATTCAACCCCCTTCCCTTTTTGGTTTATTGATTAGGAAGAAAATGTATTGTAATTCGTCTTCTGGAATGCTGACTATGGATGTCTTTTTGTGATTCAACAAAGGGCAAAATCTTTGACTGAAAATTGAAAACTCTTCCATTATTTCCTTTCCATTTTTCTCCGTCTTAGTGAATCTTCAAATTCTTGTTTTGGCTGACTATAGTAGAACTAGTGCGTGCTTGGACTGAAATATTTTTATGGAAATGAAAGCAAAATGAGAGAATGCATGCCTTTGTTTGATCACATTGACAAGGAAAGTAGAAATAGGAAAATGGAATGTTCTTAACTCAAAAGATTCTTAAATAAGTGGCAAGTAAAGAGACTGCTAATCAATATCTGGCCTTCAGTTTCCGCCAAGATGCACTTTTTAACATCTTGGTCCACACTTGTTGAGTGTATTTATTCATGCTTTCCTGGACGTTGCAGCCTCAGACCATCAGGATTAATCAAGCCGACCAGGGAGCAGGAGGTGCTCAAACTGCCCAAAAATCAGCTTGCTGTGGTTCATAAGAAATTGGCAGTAACGAAGATAGGATGATGAGGGAGGAGGAATTAATCTTTTCCATGACGTTAATGTTTCTTCACAATCTATTTACTTTCTCGAAGCTCCTACTATGTCTAAAAGTATAATCTAAGTCTTGCTTATTATTTCTGGCTTATAAGAGATCTGGAGGAGCTGTGTACTCCTTTTTGTTCTACCTTTTTTTTGGGTGGTGTTTGTAGCCATTTTACTCTTTATCATTTTTTGGTGCTCGAGCGTTTGTGGACTGGACAAAAACGAAAACAGAATAAAAAAGGAAAAATAGAGAGAATAGGTAACGAAGATGGAAGAAAGGGGTCGAAAATTGAAATTAGGTGAATATCTGACACAGTAAACTTGAAGAAGGGTAAATATATTTCTTTTTCCATATTTTTTCCTGAATCTTTCTCTTGCTTCATAGAGCTTCTCTCTTTTCTTCCATGATTTTAAAACGGCAAGGGCGAATTATTTGTTGGACGGCCCTGTGGAGCTTTTAGAAAAAGGCAGTCTTCGACGCAATAGTTAGTTCAGTTCTCATTACTATCCTTTTTCAATTTCCCTATCCCTTCCTTTATCTAATTTATTAAAAAAAAAAAACATGGCTCATATGATTCAATATTTTGCATACGGGTCGAAACCGGTGCAGGGGTATAATAGAGCAGAACCTAAAAGTTGATAAATATTCTTGAAAGAAAAGAGGAAAAGGATGATGCAACAACAGCATCACACAACTTACAAAATCCGACTTTGGCTATACTCATCAGTAGATGAGTGCAAGTAATTAATTCCTCGAGGTGGCAATTCTCTAATCTACTGCCAAATCAATTGACATCTGCAAATGGAGTTCTATTTGGAGATGCTCCTGTACATTGTTGCAATTGCCGCTGATTCTTTCCCTCAGCACCACTCCACTTTGGTTCATTTTCCAGACTAACTTTAGATATCACTGTTCTCATATCTTCAATGGATGCTAGGCTGGGAATTTGTATCGGTCGCTTCATCGGTGTCTGATCAGTGTACATGTCAACCTGTTTATAAGATTATTGTTCAATAAATTAGAATGCTACAACAGCAAGATTACTTTATATCATATAACTAAAATTTAGCTTAGATCCTTGACAGTTCGTTGCGGCCGTGGATCAAAGGAAGCTTAGAAAGTATCCTGTGAAAATATAAGCAAATGAAACATAGTAAGCCAGTATATACCATGTAGTCTTTTTGGAGGCATTGTTCTTTTGTACATTGGATATCTGATATACATTCACCATGGTTCTGTTGCATAGAGTTCAGCTGATTCAGACAGATGCTACTTATTGACTCAATTCTATTCTTGTGTTCCATGTCCAACGTCAAAGAATCTGCAAACACATGACAACTTTGTTTAATAAAAGCATCTCAGTTTGAGGGGGAGAGGGTCATAATCTGTATCCAGAAGATTTCAGATACCATTAAAAGAAGTCAGCAAATCGTGACAATGGGCTTCAACTTTCTCGTCCACAGATGAGGAAGTGGAGAGAAATTCATCATATGCACCACCAATTCTGATAGAGCATTCCCTGTCAATGGGGAGATAAAAAGAATTAGAATTGAAATTAACAAATAACAGAAACCTGAAAATGGTTGCAAGTGAGAACTTACCGTGAAATGTGTTCTAACTCTTCAAGATTGTTTGTAAGGATTTGATGGACTCCTGATTGAGTTTCTCCCAACTGTTCATTCAAGTTATCCACCTTGTTTGTGCTAAACAAGAAGAAGAAAAATAATGAATGAAAGATCCAAAAACTTCTTCTGAGAGCACCGAGTCTTTCCAACCAAACCCAGCTAATAGTCTCTTCTTTTCTTTCATAGTAGGGAATTTGTATATGCATTCAAATGCTTCGGTAAGATATTCATGCTTTTGGAACAGTTATTTTGCAAATTTCAAGTGTGTTTCTGTTGTTTTGTTCATATATAGCAGTATTATAGCATCACCAGGATGTCGACACCTATCTATCTTCTAAATATCCTTATCGCAAATCCTACGCCACCTTGTGTTCCTTCAATGCCATAAAAAAAACGGATATCTTACCACTCTTGCAGGCGATTTTCCAAAGTCATTCTGCTTGCTGTGTACGTGAATGTGTCTTCCAAGAAATTTTGCTTCACCTCATTAATGTATCCATTCAATTTTTGCTTTGCACTAGTTGAAACCTGCTGGACACCTGATATTTCTTGCAACAGCTGCTTATTTTCTGTTGCACTAGAATCCTGGAAGTTTCTTGACGCTTCTGACACCTGACATTAAATATTTTGCGATGAATAAATCTCTTATTGAATGTCATGCATGATAAGAGATGTAGTATCAACAGACTCACCATAGCTGCTTTCTTAGTTGTCAGAGTTGCCAATATTGCAGCAATTTTGTCAAGAGCCAAATTTTCTTCTCTAAGTGCCTCTTCCTGCCATGAAGAGAAAAAGAGAGATTTTAGCTTCCTGATAGGCACTTAGATATAGATTGATTAAAGATAGTTGGGTCACTCTCTGCTTCTTAACCTTGAATGTCTTCTCAAATTTTTGTAGTTGGTCAACTTTATTGATGTTGCTTTTATCAAGAAGTTTCATCACTTCAGAAGCGCGTTGATGGAGATCATCAAAGAAGTTTACAGTCGCCTGAGAAATTAATTGTGCTGAAACAAGACTTCGCCGAAGTGCCTGTGGCATCCAAGGTTTGTTCAGTTCTATGTTTCAGTAGCTAGAATACATAAAAAATCTGTATAGAGTTTACAGTCGCCTGAGAAATTAGTTGTGCTGAAACAAGACTTCGACGAAGTGCCTGTGGCATCCAAGGTTTGTTCAGTTCTATGTTTCAGTAGCTAGAATACATAAAAAATCTGTATAGAGTTTACAGTCGCCTGAGAAATTAGTTGTGCTGAAACAAGACTTCGACGAAGTGCCTGTGGCATCCAAGGTTTGTTCAGTTCTATGTTTCAGTAGCTAGAATACATAAAAAATCTGTATAGAGAGTAGAAGATAAAGCTAGCACTAATAAATACCTGCATAGGCTGTAAAAATGATTCTTGTGAAAATATATAAGGGCAAAAATTGACTGACCTCTTCTTGTTGTTTAGCAGAGAAATCTAGTATTTCTCTTTGTTCGTCCAGAGAATTCTTGATATCACAAACGAAATCTTTGGCCTCCAAAGATGCAGCTCTAAGAAACTGTATTGAAAAGATCCCCGCTTAATTTAATATAACCTAATCAGCACTGCACATCAGAAACACAGAGACTTCTTACTTTTTCAACTGTGGTAGCTTGAGATGATATTTTAGAATTGATCTGGTCCAGATCAGTAGAAGCTTCCAACTGCAATACATCAACAAGCTCCTTCAAGCATGCCATGCCAGAAGTGTATGTCTGAGTCATTTTGTTGATCTTTGATTCCATGACCTTAGTAACCTAGTGGTGGTTATTAAAATGGTATTGAGTTCCTCAACCAATAAACTTAGCATACTAAAGGTCAGTAGAAAGCTCAGAATTTAATATCTTACATAACATTTGCTGGCAAGAAATGAGCTGACATGCTCCTCCATGCCTCTTAATTGATGCTGTTGCTGGGAATTCAACCCGTGAATGATTTTGTGCAGGTCATTTAAACTTTTATCAAGCCGTGAACCAAATGTATGCAGCAGATTTTGATTATCTGCTTCCAGCTTGTCTTTGTGATCTGCGTAAATTGGAACCTTTACGAGTGTATACCTTGCTTATATATATTAAAGAAATGGCATGTTCAGTTTGCTTCAAAACATGAGAAAAAGGTTGCAGCTTGGAGTCCTAGTCAAAGAATAGAGAGATCATTTTACTTCTTTAGCACTGCCTTAGACATAAGAGTGTAATTCATGCTAATATATAGAACCAAAAGGCTGCTGAAAATTTTATTCCTGAAGAGTCGACAGCTTATCATCAGGAGAATACAGATGCAAAATATAATGCCAGCAAGATGAACCAATAAAGCAAACAAAATTCAAGAGTTACCTATTCTTGAAAAAAGTGAAGTTATATCCTCTGATGCATTCTGCAAATTTTTCCGCAAGTCCTTCGCACAATCGATCAGACAATTTTCTGTTTGCAAGTTACAGAATCACATAATCATGGAAGAGTTAAGCTCATACAGAGAAAAATTTACTTGGGAGAGATTCAAATACCTGAATGTATTTGTTTTGAAATAATGAACTCTTTTTCCTTCAGTGTTGAAATAGCAATCCTGTGATTCTCTTGAAGCTCATGTAATGCCTTTTTACTATTTTCTAGATTTGCCTAGGCAATAGTTGGAAGATGTGAATTATTTACAGAAGAAGAAGCACTATGCATGATTTATAAACAACTTTGTTAACATTACCTGGCACTCTTTGAGTTCAGCTTTCAGGTTCAGTTTTTCTTCCTGCTCCCTAAGATAGAGCTCACGGAATTTATTAATTTGCTGTCACAAGTCAAGGGGGAAATATCCAGTAAGTGCATACATTTAATGATTTAGGATCTTAATAAACATTAACAATAAAGTAAAGAAAGGGAAACAATGCCAAAATTACCTTTTCACTAATGTTTAGATCAATCTCCAACTGCTCCATTTTCTCATTCTTTGCCTATAAGATACGACAACGACATTTCAAAATTAATTAAAACACAAAGTGCCAGGAAAGTCCTACACGGTGAATGTCTCATCATGCACAATGTTGTTCTAAATAACATATAACCAATATATTGGGGTCAGAACTTATTGACTATTTAAAGTGGTTTAAAGCTAGATTGTAGTCACTGGGTTAAAGGCCAAATTGCGTTTTTGGAATAATCAGGTTAAACTTCACCAACTCGAAAGAAATCTTTTAAGATCTACTCAAGAGGGAAGTCATACAGTTGTTAGATAATTTCATTCATAGACGAACCATCTCTGCAAATTATTAGAAGTTGCTAGCCAAATCTAAGAACATATACCTTTTTTTCTGCTTCATCCTGCAAAAATCTTTCATGAGGAATGTAAACTCCATTCTTTTCTCTTGCTGCTCGGATATCTGGTAAGATCATGAAAGCAAATGACGTAATTGGTAAAGAAGTATCCTAGCATGGAAACAAAGAGATCACACACCACAAAAAAAAGGTGTTAATATACCTTGTTTCATCCTTTCAAATTCTAAGTACAGA